AACAGGGACCTAGCCTCTTGAGCCAAAGGGAAATCTCCCATCAGCCCAGAGGCTGTGTATGCGTTACAATATTATTATAATAATAAACTTTATTTGATATAGCGCCTTTAAAGATGGCTTCTCAAAGCGCTTTACAGAAAAAAACAGGAACAACAACAAATTAAAATAAACAATAAAAAGCACCATTTCAGTGAGAAGGGTGAGCCCGTTTAGAGTAAAGCAGATGTGAAGTAATTTTTCGTGCCTTGACACAATTCACAACAGAGTCTAACAGATTTTAAATCGTCAGGCATTTTCTTGACGGCAAAGGTCTTGCAGTGGATGTTGCACTTCATATCTAAAGCAACCTCTTGCTGTGTGGGCTTGTCATCGCTCTAGTACCGTGTGTACAATCTCAGATGCATTTTATCCAGTCAATGCCATTCTCTTCGATAAATTCATTCAGAAGCTGAAAAATTAGCTCTCCTGTAGTTCCTGTTGGTAGCGGCTTACAGAACAGAAAGTCCTCATGGGACATGCCCTCAAACTCGTATCTAACGTAAACAAGCAAATTGGCCAAATTGACTTACAGACTCATCTAATTGCAGTGAAAAGCGTCTGCTCATCTTAACGTGCTCTATCAGCGTACTTTTTATATCATCCGCCATTTCAATAATTCTATGAGTGACTGTGTCTTTCAGGGGGGGAAGCAGGTCGAGCTGTTTAGCAGCTTTTTCCCCACACATAATACGCGTCAGCTCTTTTGCCAACGGTAAATAAGGTTCTTCAAAAATAGTGTGGGCCTTACCTGCTTTAGCAATCCGCAAGCTTGCATTTTTCCCCATTTCCGTTTCAGGAGTCTGTCTCAGAAGTTAAAAGAAGTTTTTAAAAAGTACGCTGATAGAGCGCATTAAGATGAGCAGACGCTTTTCACTGCAATTAGATGAGTCTGTAAGTCGATTTGGCCAATTTGCTTGTTTACGTTAGATAAACAATGTTCCAGGGTCATATGGCGTACCAGCTGGCGGCGCTCTGCGCACCACTCCTGGTATGCATACCACAGTTTGAGAACCACTGACATAAGCAAAATTAAGTGAGACACAAGATGGCAGTCTTGCACTGTTAGAGTTCTGTCACAAATAAGGAACGATGGAAATCAATGTGCATCACCACCTGGATGATGGATGATGCGCCAGTCCATTCTGTGGTGCGCGGTATAACCGGTAGAAATATGATATGGATTTGGCTATAGTGCATATACACCGATAGAGAATGGATATTGGTGTTTACATAGATTGCGACACCACTGTCATCGAAAAATGGGGTTTGGAAATTTTCACCATTGACCGCTCATAGTTTAAAATTCTGCTGTATTTTAGCGCCAGTTATATAATTCAATATCTTGCTGATATTTGGAAATCTGATAGGTTCAGAATTATTGATCTTGGGTGATTCAGACGTCCGGTTTATGACGCAACTGAGATCATTGCGGCCAATAAAGACATGCTTCCCTTTTCCGAGAAAACAAACGCACATGTTTGGTATGCCCGTCTGCAAACACAAATAGGTGGAGAAGTGGAGAAAGGCAGCGCTAGTGAGACAGGAACAAGCGATGAAATTGTGTTGTGTTCAAAAGAAGGGTCATCGGCTGGTTGGAAATGGTTTGGATTTAAAAAGTCAGCATGAGCAGAAAACAGCACTGCATCCTCTTTTTCAAATTTTTACACTAAGCAGCTGTTTGAATACTTGAGGTGTTATTATTTTAATGCTTGAATATTTCTTATTTATTTTATTATTAATTTATATATTCATTTTATTTTGTTTTAAGTATGACTTAAGTTTATAAGAATTTTATTTGAAGTATAACATTTACTTATTTTGTTGATTTTCATAAGTTTATTGTTTCTGTTCTGCACAATAAAAATGTTCTTAAAATGTTCGACCTCTACTTAAGTTCAATGTGAAATTTCAAGTGTGACAGTGGCGCACTCTACTCCGCAGCATGTAGGAATGTGCCCCTACAGCAGCTGTGCCTCATCAAGCTACATAAGAACCTCACGAGATCGCAGACAGGGGTTTAAGCTCTGAACCAGCCTTCTAACTGAACAGCTAGTGAATTACTGTTCTCCTTTATTGGAAGGACATTTTTATATAGCGACAAAAACCTGTTTTTCGATACGACACCAGCACACCATTTGCTTCCTGGCTAAAGAAAAGAAGCCGGTGCTCAGGCAGTCCACCTAAACCTTCACTATTACAAAAGGAACAACACAGTAGCTACTGTACCAACAAGTTAATAACCTAATAGTTAACTCCAGGCAATAAAAACATACAATCCAAGTCTTTTAAAGTATGTTCTATTGAAATTATGAAAACAAATTCTATATCATAATATATATCATTACTGTCCAAAATTACAAATTAAAATTATAATGATTTAAATTGTAGGCCACATAGCCCAGCCCTACATTCAGCACACACCAGCTCTCAGTGGGGAGGAGAGCAGTGTGATGAAGCCAGTTCAGAGATGGGGGTTATTAGGAGGCCATGATGGGTAAAGACCATGTGGAAATTTGGCCAGGACACCAGGGTAACACCCCTACTCTTTTCAAGAAGCGCCCTGGGATTTTTAATGATCATGTAGAGTCAGAACCTTGGTTTACGTCTCATCCAAAGGACGGCGCCTTTTTACAATACAGTGTCCCCGTCACTATACTGGGGCATTAGGACCCACACAGACCACAAGATGAGCGCCCCCTACTGGCCCCACTAACATCTTTTCCAGCAGCAACCTTAGTTTTTCCCAGGAGTCTCCGATCCGAGCGTTCTGGCGCACTATGGCTGCCGTCGCATCATCCAGGTGGGGCTGCACATTGGTGGTGGAAGAGGGGAGTCCCCATTACTTGTAAAGCGCTTTGAGTGGAGTGTCCAAAAAAGCACTATATGAGTGTAAGCAATTATTATTAATAATAATAATTCTTATTATTATTATCCAGGTACTGACCAGGCTCACACCTGATAAGCTTCAGTGGGTTGCCACTGTGGCTGCTGGCTAGTAGCTAGTAAGGCTTAATGCTAATGGTGTGCTCTGTGAAAGAGAACATTTCCTTACTGTGTACATAAATAATAAAGCACTCTACAGTAAAAAAATACACAATGAGAGGAGACAACATAATTACACCATTACAATAAGGGTTTGGAATACAGTGGAAGAGCAAAGCAATTGAAAGAAGGTTTAAGTCTTGATTTAATTGTGCTCAGGGAAGGTGTCTCTCTGGTATCCTTAGGAATAGAATTCCAGAGCTTTGGAGCATCACACCAGAAGGCCCTGTCACCCATAGACAGGCTTGGGGGACAGACAGGAGACCAGAATTAGAAGAGCGAAGGTTGTGAGGTGGGGAGTAGGACAATAGTAGCTCAGACTGGTACTAACCTGACAGGAAGCCAGTACAAGGACTCCAGGATAGTAGTAATGTGATTGCTTGCACTAGACATGGTCAGGATCCTAGCTGCTAAATTCTGAATATATTGAAGTTTTTTCATGTGGATTTAGATACTCCAGTGAGTAGAGCATTTCAGTAGTCAATCTCATAGAAGATGAAAGTTCCAGCCAGCTTTTCAGTTAGTCTTCAACAGTTAGTCTTCAGATCAACAGCAAAGTAGTCAGCAGCAGAATCACAGTCATGGCGGAAATAATGAAATGGCTGGAGGTGAATGTTTAGATATCGTAGCAGTAAAAACCAGGTAGAAAAAAATATAAATGTATACAGATGCAGCCATTCAAAATGAGTGAGGTATGCTGCGGTAAAATGTGGTGGGCATGGCACAATATACCGCAATATACCATATGGAAATTAGATTATGATAATAGTATCTGGAAGCAGCTTGTAAGACCTTGTAAAACCGCCAGGTTTGCCAGGTGGAGCTAATAAAGCTTAATGTCTCATGTACACTATTTGAGCTGTCGCCAGAAAACACTGTTGAGGGACAATCTTTTTCCAATTAAGAATTTAGGTTGCATACTCTTTAGACTTTTAATAATTGAAAACTCAATTACAGCATGTTAATCATTAAACATTAAAAAGTCAATACATTTTATAAAAGTAAGATTGCTCAGTTGGACAAAAGTATACCTTCCACCTTGATCATAAATATTTTAATTATGCAAAAATATGTTATGCATCAAAGTCTTTATGGAAGATATTACTAATATAACTAATATTAGTAATATAATTAATAATAAGTGACCTTGGGCATTACCTTACTCTTTGTATCCGTCTGCATTAGTTTAAGTGTTGCAACACAAAAATACTTTATTTTTCCATTGACAAAAAGTAAAACCACAAACTATCCAAAGATAGTGTACTACTGTGATAATTTGAGCTACAGTATATGAATATAATTATATAGTTATTAATTTATTTAAATACGCAATTCTTGCATCCCCCAGCACTCCAGAGGCTATTTGTGCCTGGAATGACATCCTCCAAAACATCTTGCATTATCTTGAAGAGTATAAAGAGTACAGTCTTGGGTGATGGCTTGAATTCAAGTAAAACCTACATCCTAGTCAGTGATCGTATGGCTGTCTGTTACTCCCAGGGCACTGTATGAGACAAAAGGGTCATCTGGTGAAGTATTTTATCTCTCTTTTAACTCTCATCACCCTGTTTAACAGTAGGGCTATATGTACAGAATGGCTACTGTGTGTCTCCCAGGTAGGCCTGAGTTTAAGTGGAGGATGTTAGTGGGACCCTTTGAAATGCATATGGATCTTTAGGTTATAATGAAAAGTTCTACATAAATGCAATGTTACCAAATCTCAAAACCTGTTGTATCTGGTGTATACCACTTCCTGCACAGAACTTCTGGTGTTACTCTCTGGGATACTGTCCCAGTACTGTCATGATCAACTGTCATGATCAAGTGTTTATATAGACAATACTGTTTAAATACTGCATAAGATTGACTAGTATGTTCTATGATAATATCCCAGTAATGTCCAGATAAACTGGTGTTACCCCCTGTAATACTGTCCCAGTACTGTCCAGATCAACTGGTGTTACTCCCTGTGATACTGTCCAAGTACTGTCCAGATCAACTGGTGGTTCTATAACTGATACTATCCAGATCATCTAGAAATACTCTCAATGATACTATCAATATCACCTGGAGTTACTCCCCATTATACTGTCCCAATACTTTCCAGATCTCCAGATACAGCAATAAGCATTGTGCTTTTCTGACCATAGGTTTTACACTATTCACTATGTAAATAATTGTATATACTTCTAGTTGAGAAGAAAGGACGTTTTAAAAATCTTAAGTGAATTCCTTTCTTACCTGTCCATAGGATTATCTTCAGCCACGCTAATGAGATAACTATTGTTAATAGCAGAGCTGCTAGCTCCCAGGAGGCCATGGCTGGGGTGGCTCGACCTTCTGTCAGCTGGACTGATGAAATGAAATGGCCTGGTGATACCTGATGGAGAGAAGACGAAGAGTTTACAGTGGGGAAGTGTGTTGTTGGTTCGAAATATTCTTTCCTAGTGTTTTCCAGCTGGGCTTAGTTGAGAACTATACTGTCTATACTGTGTGTTTTCAAAATCAAAGACTGGAATAAACTTCCCCTTTTTCCTCCTTGTGGGGCTTTATAAGAGCCACTGTACTTGTACTTTCACTTAAGAGTTTCATTAACAAAACAAACAAAACTTTTGAAAAAAAGTGTCAGTTGATTAGAAGTCAGATGATATCTTGCTTTCCCACTTGTAAGAACAGTTTAATGACAAGTTTGGTGTTTCTCCACATCAATAATTTACTTTTAAATATTTAAGAAGTGTTTAAAATTTTTAGATAAGTTTTGAAAATACCACAAAGTTGGTAATCAAGCTCCTATATTCCTCGTCCCTCCCCTCTAATACACCCCACAATTGCAGAGTCACCCGAAAAATTCTGCAGATGACATGCCTCAGAGTTGAACTTGAAGTCAGAGGTATAATAAGTGAACAGGAATGAAGCAAGGACAGTCCCAGTATTAATTTAATAATAATAATAATTTCAAACTTCTTGTATCTTTCTCAAAGTCATTTTTTTCTTCGGTTTTCATTACCTTCGCTTATTAAAATGCATATTTATTAGACACGATGTTTCAGATGTCAATAACTTGAACAAATGACACAGAGCCTGCAACATTTCACAGCTTTTAGTTAAACAATATCTAGTACCTGGTTGCATTTTTAGAAACCTTAGTTTGAATAAAGCAGATCCCAGGTGCAAGTGACTTTATAAAGTGAGAAGGCATTATGCTATCTTTCCATATATCAGTTGAAGCCTTTTGAAGTCTCTCAAAAACATAAAAATGTAACATAACATTGTGTGGCATGATGGACAACTGATTCTTTTAATTTTAAAGAAAATCAAAAATAAGAAATAATAACGTCTGCCTAAAACAGACATTGCATGATTTTAAAACCCATAAAAAACAGGTTTAGTTAAAAACACGAAATCCACTAAAATTGGGTGATTTTCCATGTGATCAGTATAGAATCTTTGTGCAAGCTGTATGTTTTTTCTAACTTTTTAATTGAACATTTTAAACACTTTAATTGTATAAATGCAACATGCATTTCATACAGATATAGTACAATCACATTCTCCTGTCTTTCCATGGTGTGAAGCAAATTAGCAGGTAGCTGAGAAAATTGCCCACTGAACTCAGTCAGAGAAGAGGCAGCACTATAAGGAGACTGAGCACGTCTGCCTTTAAAACTTCATAATGGAATATAAATCTTTTTTTTACTTGAAATCTTGTAATTATCATTAAAAATAGCTTTCTCCTTATAGTCATCATTTCTCATAATAGTTTTATATTTGAAACCACCGTTAAACAAAGCAGGGGCTTATATTACTTTCATTACACATGGAAAAATTATACATTTTTTGTTTTTATTGTTTTAAAATAAATTTTAGAAAAGTTTCATCTACACAGATATCACAGACTATTTTTGATTGTATTTCCTGATGTTATGTCACAGTTTAATATTTTATATACATCTAAATAAAGTCAGGCGTTAGGTGCATAAACTATTGGTAATCAATAATTAGTATTAATAAGTATTAAAATTCACACTGTGATAAATTGTTGCACTTCCACATCTTGTAAAAACATTAATTTGCAAGACAGTGTTCAAACATATTTTAAATCTGACTATCAAAAAATAAGAAAATACAAACTTATAAAATAAAAAATGAAGGTAAAATATAATTTTAAATTAATCCAGGGTTCACTTATTTCCTGTCTCTCCCTACTCTCTCTCATCCGCTGCAATTCGGACACAGAATGGTTAAAATGGGAACAGGTCAGGCAGGCAGAGGGAAGGGGGAGGAGGGAAGAGTTTTTCCACCTGTATGACTAAAATGACAAAGAGAAATGGCTTGAGCGACATACAGAGACGAAAATGTTTGGTGCCGTCTTCCCTGCTTTTAAGGTACACTCCTTGTGGAAGGATTTTCACCTCGAACGTTTTCCCACCAGCTAACACACACTGTGAGTAACGCTGCCCACTAAACCTCTTTCCCACAATTTCACAGGGGCAAGGTCACATAGCTGATTCACAGCTACAGTAGATACAATTTAACTTGCCTTGTGAAAGCAAAAATTCAGATATTCAGATAGTTCAGATAGTCAACATATTTACTTAAACTATCCATCTCAGTAATCTCACTGTGTTAATCTCACTGTGCGCCCCAGTGCTCTCTCAATGTTCACACTCACAGTAAAATAAGAAACCCATTTTTGGCATTGTCACCTCGCAACAGGGGGGAAGGAAAAGTGCCCGCTGTCATTTAATTATTTCAATTCAATTCAAGGTGCTTTATTAGCATGACTGACGGGTACAATCAGTGTTGCCAAAGCAAATAAAAATAATGAAATTCACATGAAACAAAACAAAAAATAAAAGTAAAATTAAATCTACAGACATATTACAGACATTTACAACAAAGACATATCATAAAATATTTACATATACTGTAAATATTTATTAATTATATTAATTATTTCACTCTCTATCACTCTGCCCAACCCCCCTGGACAGACAAAGTTGATTAAAACTAATTCAAAAGGGTGTGGTGTTCCGCTTATAAGAGCAAGGTGACATTCTGCTTAATTAAATTAAGCTACAGTACAGATTTTAAATTCTTTAAGCAAAATAATGTATTTGTCAAAATCTTCTACTTTGCAAGCAGTACACGACTTCTCAAAAGGTACCTTTTATCTCTCATGCAAACTCAACAAAGGTTTATTTTTTATAATTCCAAAATTTGAATGGTATGCCTCAGGGACTCATTATAGTATTGTAGCAAATACGGTTCACGCAGGAAAATCAAAATACTGCCCCCCCCTCCCAGCCGGGTCTCGCCTCCCGCTGTTCCAAAGCCATATGGTTTCAAAGTATGTGTGAAATATCTTTTCTTACTCCAGTTATTAATCCAATCTATTTTCACTCATATCTGGTTATGTAAAAAAATATGGCCAAAAGGATCACTGTAAAGGTTAAATTCCAAGTTGAAAAGACAAGACTCAACATGTCTTCTCTAACTCTTCAGTTTACAGCTCGTCCATGGTCATTCATTATAAATATTGTAACAAATGCTCCAGGGGTGCTGTACAATGGCAGACCCTGCGCTCTGACCCCAGGCTCTCTCCCTGTCTGTGTGTCTCATAGAGAGCAAGCTGGGGTATGTGAAAAGATAATTCCTAATGCAAGACATTGTAATGGGTTAATAAAGTGATGTTATTATGTTATTATTATTATTAAATGGCAGGCATACAGATAGTACAAGCTGGTTGCAGCCGCTACTACTGAAGGAGGTTTTCTGTAGTTCAGATTAAAAAACCCTCTGTTAAACAACACAGGAGACCTGGTTTTGAGCCCATGTGTTGGAGGGTGAACTGGGGCAGGAGCACTGAAGGCACTGAAGCCCAAGAATCTGAATTTGTTACAATATTATTAATAATATATTCTGTATTGCATTTAAATTGGAATGTTTTTACAAATATAAGAAGAGGCGATACCCAACATGCAAATATAACTTTTGTCCCTCCTTTAACTTAAATAATTATGAAGACATCCTAAATCACGAAACCATAACTTTTAATAATTAATCCAGATACACACACTCACACCAACAACAAGCTATAATAGTGGACTGTTTTTATATATTCGGCTATGTAAGAAACAAAGTAATTCTCTGATCCCGCTTTGAACCGCCTGGGTGCAGCTCACTACATTACTGTACTCATTTTCACTACAAGGACAATAGAAGTATTTTTTAAAAAAAGAAACGAATGTCAAAATGTTTCCAAAATGTCCACTTGTAATACTTTAGCTGCTTAGTTATACGATTCCATATTAATATAACTATCAAGTGATGTTAAATCACTACAACATTTATCTTATATTGTAAAAACATTTATCTTTTTACAATAACAGAAACTGGTGTTCTTACTACTGAAGGAAGATACAAGATGTGCAGAAGGGGATAACTGATTCCTTTCTGCATGAGGACTGGACTTCTAAGTAATAGGCTACGGTTATGGCAGGAAAGGATAACTGATGGATTCCAGGATTCCAGATGCCAGCTAGGAAACCCCCAGGGAGGGTAACCTAAAACCCTGACCATTTGGCCAAAAGTCTGTGAACTGTCCAAATACCGTGTCCTCTCCCCCATTACCTCCCCATTGTAATGAGCTACGTCAACAATACTTTGGTTTTGTTGTTTCTTGTGGGAAACAAGACTTCGGCTTTATTGTTCCTTGCATGCAATAAACTCATCTGTTTAACTTCATCTCGGGATCCAGAACTTATTCTTTCTGTGACAACAATTTCGGAATAGTTGGCAGGATACTCCAGAAGGTGCAAAACTTCCTATCGGCAGGAGAGACGGTCAGCGACGCACATTACTAAGAGGTAAGGACTCCTCTTTTATTAAAAGTCCCATCTCTCTTGTCTGACCGGTTGGGAAGTCTCTGCTCCCTGCGAGGATCGCCCGAGATGATAGAGTAAACGTGAGTTTCAGTATACCTCTGGCCCGGGGAAGACACCAGTGTATGTAATGGGTGGTTGGCAGTAAGCCCAGAATTTGGTCTGGCAGGCGGCGATCCACGGTCTTGTGCACATTGTCATTATTGATATTGTAATCAATATTGTAACAGCCAGCATACAGATGGTACAAGCTGGTTCCTGCGCTGTGACAGTACAGCCCTCTACTCCCCTGCGCAAAACAGGGATGTTGGCTGCATAGGCAGAAGAAGGTCTTCTGCAGCTCAGCCGGCAAAACCTTTGTTGAGCGTTGCAGGAGACCCGGGTTTGAGCCCATGTGGTGAAGGATGAACCGGGACAGGAGCAGCGAGACAACAAGCCCAAAAATCCAAATTCATTAGAATATTAATAATATATTCTGTATATAAATTGTAATGTT